AAAAACAATTTGTTAACAGGGGTGGTGATACAAATCGTATAGGACAAGGATTGTGAATATAATGAGAACCAGCTCTTTAGTATTATTTTATTATGAATATGTTTAGTATTATTAATCGTATTCGTACTTCATTTTTTATCGCTATTATCAATATCACTCTTACTCTCATCTGGAATTTATTTTTTATGATCATTCGTATTATTCATATTCTTATTACTCGCATGCCATTATTATTCTTACTAATATTCCAACTCCAATTGGGATACCACCCGAGCCGGGGAGCGGGAATTATTTATTTTTGTTCGATTTGCGCGGTACGAATCATACCGTTCAGCGGTAACCGCCCCTGGAATTACTCAATTACGGTGCATTGCCAATGACAACTCCAGGGGGGTCCTTAATGGCTTCATAAAGTTATGTCTGCAGCTGCTCGCCGATGTACCTGCGAAACTTGCTGCCAGGACCCGTCCACAAAGAAGCAGCGCGTAAAGTACGTCTGCAGCTGATCGTCGGTGTACCTGCAAATGCAGCCGAGTAGTAGGCTCTGGCCATGTGTGGGATGTTTGCAGGAAGAGGACATCCAGTTCTCGCGAATCGTGAAGCCAGATCAAAGGGATCGTACGGGTCCATGATATCTTTCCACTTGTAATGGCGCATGCACGCATGCGTTGAAAGAGTGGTGCTCCGAATTGAGGCTCCCAGGAGCCGTCTCGGGGGCCAGCTGAGTGCCCAACATTTGCGAAGTGCGTGAGTGGTGTGCCGAAGAGGTCCACGTCAACATGGAAGGGCAATTCGTTTCCCGCGAGCTTCGAGGCCCACACCATCAGTTTTTTGTGTGCCCCAGTAGCCATGCGCCTGAGAGCGAACATCATTCCCAACCATCCAGTTGTTTTGAAGAGACAGCGCCCAGCGTCTCCCACCTCCTTTCCTCCTCTCTCCCTCCTCACTCCGCCCCCCTCCTCCTCCTCCTCCTCATTCTCCCGTCCCCCCCTCACTTTGGCACACTCTTCACAAGTTTCGTGGCCTCGTAGGGAGCCACATTGAAGGCCTCAGTGGATGCGCCCGCATGCCGCCACACCCGCATTTTGGCACACCCCTCACACGTTTCGTGGCCACATCGGGAGCTCCACCCAAGGCCCCAGTGGTTGCGCCCGCATGACGCCCCCCCCTCATTTCTGGCACACACCTCACACGTTTCGTGGCCCCTATAGGGAGCTCCGCCTAAGGTCCCAGTGGTTGCGCCCGCATGCCGCCACCCCCTCATTTTGGTACACCCCTCACGCGCTTCGTGGCCCCATAGGGAAGTACACATGAAGCCCGAGTGGCTGCGCCCGCATTGCCGCCCACCTTTATTCTGGCACACCCCTCACACGTTTCGTGGCCTCGTAAGGAGCTCCACTTACGGCCCCAGTGGCTGCGCCAGCATGCCGCCACCCCTTCATTTTGGCGTAACCCTCTCACGTTTCGTGGCCTCGTAGGGGGCTCCACTTACGGCCCCAGCGGCTGCGCCCGCATGCCGCCCCCCCCCCCTCTTGTGGCACACCCTACATACGCTTCGTGGCCCCATAGGGAGCTCCAACTGAGGCCCCAGTGGTTGCGCTCGCATGCCGCCACCCCCCTCATTTTGGCACACCCCTCACACGCTTCGTGGCCCCATAGGGAGCTCAACCTAAGGCCCCAGTGGCTGCGCCCGCATGCAGCTGCCCCCCTCACTTTGGCACGCCCCTCATTTCTCTTCACGCATATCGCAGCATCGTCGGGAGCTGCACCGATGGCGGTTCTCACATTGGCGGTATTCACACTTGTATATGGTTGGCTCTTTGGCCAGGACGATTTTCCCAGCGTCCCAGGAGAGGTTGGGGAGGAAATACGTGAGGGGTGTGCCGAATTGGGTTTTCGTGGCTCTATGGGGGACAAGGATAGCTAGGACAGGAACCGCATGATGCGTGCGCCGTGTGCCGAATTGATGCGTTCGTAGCATTGGGAGCGCCGTTCGCTCGTGTTTTAGTTGTATGTATATGTTTATGTATAAATGCTCCAGGGGAAGCGACCAGCGGAACCCGCGACACCCATCTTAGCATGCCGTTATAAACGTTTTTCATTCTCCTCTATCATCCTCCATCTCAGCATCTTGCCTCAAAGGTTCACACGGCCAGGGCCCGCATGGGGGCCCGCCGAATGAGCCCGCAAAGCGGGAGTCACGGCGGGCCCCTAGGGGGAAGACCGTACGCAGATTTTGGCACCATTGGGTGTTAGGGATATTGCTTCGACGCGGGTCGGTACCAGCCATTTCAGCTGCCGAGGATGTTTCCAGCGAAATTGTCACTATTGAGACTCAAACTCCTCTCTGAAGCTTACTTACCGAGAATGTCTGTAGTCAAACGGCCATGTTCGAAATCCAGAGTCCCTTCCGAAGCCGAGTTGGCGAGCATGTTCACATCGAAGCGGCAGTTTCTGAGATTCAGAGTCCTTTTCGGAGCTTGTGTGTCTAGGGTATCCTGAGCGAATCGGCCATGTGAGGCCATCGGAGTACGTCTCACTCGTGTCCCAGGAGGGTCGAGCTGCGGAATCCGCGAAGCCCCTCTTGGCATGTTTTTTTATGCATGCTTCTCACTGTCCTCCATCATAGTCTTGCCTCGAAGGTTAAAACTGCCATCGCCCGCAGGGGTCCCGCCGAATTCAATCGTTTCGGTCATTCCGCTGGCCCATATGTCATCACTGTTGCTGTTGGCGTGCTCGTGGCGAGCGAGAAGGAGGAGGAGAATGAGAAGGAGGAGGCCTCTCGATGGCTTCTTGGGGCACTCTTGCGGCCAAAGTGGGTCGTGGATAAGACGCCTCTTTGAGAGGCGTCTTGGGGTCTCTTGGGACGAATTCTTGGGTAAGCTCAGCTGGCTTGTGGTCTGCCGCGCTCTTGCACATATCCGCCACCGCGCTTGGGGAAGCTGCGCAGCAGCGCCATCTCTCTTTCAGTGGCCCTCCAATGGTAGTGTACCCATCTCGTGATAGTGCTAAACTCGTCAAAACATGCATTTGCATAATCTTTCGGAGCTCCGCGAGGATTTCTTGGATCGGCGCTGGAGACCGCTGGCGGCGCCTCAGGCGCCGCCACTGGCACGCTCTGCGCGCCAGGGAGGGGGTTCAGCGCCAATCCAAGAGATCCTCGCGGAGCTCCGACAGTTTATGCTCATATGTTTTGTTGTTGTTGTTTCATAGAAATTTTGTAGTTATCATCAATTGCTCTCTGGGTAGCCCCTCATTGTCAGCGGGTGCATTGCTATTCGTCCTCTGCCATAAGAAAACGTAACATCGCCGCCGACTGTGGAGTGTCGAGTAGTTTTTTTTCGCCGCCAGCACTTTTTCAGTTTTTTTCCGGGGTGCGATCGCCGTTCGCTAATCCGTGGAAACGCAACAATAGAGTTGCGATGTCTGCAGTTCCGTCTCCCAGGACTTGTCCGCCCACTTCTATTGCCATGATAGCCATGTGTACCTCTGCCGCCACCAATGCCACCAAGCACTTTACGTGAAGTGACTGGCTCCTCCTTATTCTCCACCCTGCGTCCCAGCCAGAATGAGCTCAGAAGCATTTCCCATACATGTTTCAGGCGCAATCCTGACCCGTTTGTCGAGATGCGTCCGGCCGTGGGATGAGGGAGACCTCCGAAGGCCAAGAGATGGAAGAGGAGAGTCGGAGGACAAATGTATGTCCAAGACGCATCAGCGACGTTGCAATGAACCCTCCCTATTGACTCCCTCTTCAAAGGTCCCTACAAGACTTCTAGACGCATCGCGTATCCCCACCAGTCCCCCTCTGCGTGTTTATGGTCGCGCCGCCGCGCCATTTTGGCTGCGCTTACTTGCTGGTCGCCACAGGGATTTCCAACGCCACCGGGTTTGGGAGTATCGGTTCTGGCTCTCCTTCTGAGTGGTTGCCCGCTCGCTCGCTTCGCTTGCCGTTCTTTTCCTGCTGCCTAGTCGCGGCCCGACTGGTGTTCGGACGGCTTTCGACCCGCCTCGCGAGCCTGTTGATCAAAAGTATCCCCACCAGCCTTTTCTCTGCTCTTCCGCTCTTCGGTTCTCGCCCTCGGTTTCTTCGCTTCGCCTGCCGTTGCCTCCGCTCTGTTTCGCCACCCTTGTGGCCCTTTATTTTCCGTTTCGCACTTGCGACAGCAGGGCTTGCGTTTCTCTTTCGGCTTTATCTGATGGCGCGCGGCTGACCGCGTCGCTCGCGAGCCAAAAAAAGCTTCACAAACTTCGAGCCTGGTGACGCACCCTGGCGTCCAGGTGACTTGCACGTCGACCAGCTTCGGCTAGAATGTTTGCGTATTCTTGGCCTCTGGTCCTGGGACACTGCCACGGCCTGGCCGTGTTTGCAGCTGCCGCCTGCATGGTGGGACGCGCCCCTACGTTGATTGGTCAGGAGTGGTTCAGCCTTCTTGTTCAGCCATGTGAGGTTGTCGCTGTTGGCACGCAGCACTGGTACGCTGGACTGCTTGCGCAGCCCTGCGCTTTGCCACGCTCGGTGGCACGACTACCTTTGGCGCCTGGCGCGACAGGGTACAATTCGTTCGTCTTCCTGGTGGTCTCGCCTCTGGGGTCGCTGCACGTCGGCCGCCTGGCTCTCCTGGCAGCTCCTGCAGCATGCCTTCAGCCCCCCGCGCCGCTCAGCGCCCCTCGGCGGCAGCTCTGGCGGCTGTGAGTGCGCACGCTGGGTGATTAGGTTCGCCCGTAGCCCGGGTCGACCCTTGACGCCGCCTGCGCCTTCGCTTGCGGCTGCGACCAAACAGTCCCCACCAGCCCATCCAGAAACGATGTCCGGGCGAGTTTAGGTGATCAGGGAAATACGGTAGCAAAGGGGTGAACGTCCGAACCGTGCGAAGGAGGGAAGAGGAGAAGCAGGAGGCTGGATGGATGGATCAGGGAGTGGGGAGAAGAGAGATGAATGTAATGAGCCAGCCCCCCGTTTCCTGCCTGCCCGTGGCGGCTACCTCAGTGGCTGCCAGGTCCGGCTTCAGGGGGACACGAGCGCCAACTACGTGTCGACGGCGCCTCCGGTCCAGCAGGCCGCCCGCTGTTGTCCCCCCGCGCTTCCGGCGCCCTCGAAGGAAACGGTCCTGAGGGAAACGGGCATGGGTTCTCCGGTTTTTGGACTCCCAGGGTCCTCCACGGGCCCGGGCCGCGATTGTTTTAAAGCGGATCAAACTGAAAAACTGATCATGCGGGAAGCCCCGGGGTTCACGCCAAGGGTCGTGGGGCAATCAGAAACCGATCCATGGCGAAAAGCCGGTCCCAAAGAAGGGGTTGAGAGTTCGTGGGTTCATATTGAACATCGTGATGTCCGAGGTCTGGTCTCCAGGCCCCCTTTAGTGGGGCCAGAGTGGGGGACGTCGCAGGAACACGCTGCATCGTCGATGCATCAGCGCTGCGGCGCGATCTGAAGCCCGAGTTTCTTCATGGCGACGTCGCCGATGCGTCGTGGACGTATCGACGCTGCTTGAGTTAGTGCCACAGGCATTCTCTGCTGTTTCCAATCATCCAGGGCCCCTCTAGGGCTGTCTTGGGCTGTCGGAAGCCCGAAAAGGCGGGAGCGCGAGAATGATTAGCGTGCCGCTGTCACGGCGGTGGATGCGCGCTCCATGGTTTACATATGTTGTTCGTTCCAAACTTGTTTCGCGTGTATGTTATTTGCGAATGTTGTGTGCACATGCGTTCTTCCAGTAGTATGTGTACGCCTGTTGTGTCAGTGTATTTTACGCATGTGTCTTGTGTGTGCAATCCTGCTGTGTGTATGCATATTCTTCATGTCAGTTGTGCACACTTGATGTGTCTCAATGCTACGTTTGTGTACGGTGTGCAGTCACGTGCAACTATCATGCGTGTATGTTGCGCGCGCGTGTATTGTATGTGTTGTGTTGATGCGTGCTGCTCGTGTTTTGGTGTCTGATCTCTATGCCTACTCATTGTGTCGTCACTCGTCGAGGACGAGGCGGGAGACCTAGGGATGCTTGGGACCTGGGGGCCGCAGTATGATGCTCAGAATGTAGGGGGCGCGAGGCGGGACTCCCAGGAATCACTGGAACACTAGGGGCCTGGCTGCCTTGGTATGCAGGGCGGGAGATGAAGGTCGGGAGCTCTTTTCTAAAGCATGTCACAACCCACAGCCGGCGGGTGGGGGAAAAGCGGATAAAAAATCATAACGTCTTTTGATTTTTTTCTGCGCGCCGTCACAAGTTTTAACATGTATTGTCCGCCCTTTCCGTCTCACCTGCCATCCCTGCTCCTATTCTTTTTCTTCCTCCTCTTTCTGACCTCTTCTCTTGCACATTGGTTCTGCGTACACGTGTTATAAGTAAAATATGTCTTCATGCTGTGGCTGCTTCTTACCCTTGCCCCTCGTATTCCATTGGTCCTTGTGGCTCGACCCCTTTGGCCCTTATGCTTTTCAGCCCTTTAGCCTTGTGACTCGTTCGTATCCTTCAACCCTTCGGCATTCTCTCCAGGCCCCTCTCCCCGTCTCCCCAACCCTCGACTTCCTGCTCTGCTTAACCCGACGCTCTTGCTCACTTGCTCCCTCTCCTCGGCCTCCTCTTCCCCCTCTTATTCTCGCTCTCCCTTTCTCCTCGCTCCCTCGCGCTCGCTCTCCTTCCTCGCCCGCGGGCCGCAGGCGTCGATGCTGCGCGAGCCGATCAGCACGGCCCGTAATTCAAGCCTTCGTGATTTGCTGGTGATGGCGGCCGCCTGCGCGGTCACAGGCGTGTGCGGAGGAGAAGGAGGAAGGAGAAGGAGGGAGGAGGAAGGAGGAAGGACGAAGGAGGAAGGAGGAGGGAGGAGGGAGGAGGGAGAAGGGAGGAAGGAGGAGGAGGAGGAAGGAGGAAGGAGGAGGAGGAAGGAGGTAGGAGGGAGGAACCGAGGAGGAGGAGACAAGAGAGGGGTGGCTCCTCCGACCCCTGCCCCAGATGTGGGGGAGCGGAGGTCGGAGGGAGGAACACCGAGGAGGGATTGAAGGAGGGAGGAGGGGCCTCGACCTCCACACGGAGGCTGGCAGTGGGAGAGGGGCCGCCCCGCAGGGGTGAGCGTCAATGGGGTTGGGGGGGGGGCAGGGAGGCTCGCCCGGTTCCCGCCGCAGGCCTCGCGGTGGTCGCCCTGGCGCTGGCCCGGGGGCGCACGCGCGCCGTGGCGTCGGCGGCGCGCCGGGCGGCGGCGCAGGCCGTGGACTCAGGCGCGGCGCGGGCAGCAAGGGGGCCGGCCCTTGCGTCGTGCGTCCTCGTGCTGGGCCTCCCGGGGGGCTTCTTCTTCTGGGCGTCTCCCAGAGGCTCCTCGCCGCCACAGACAGATCCGCCTCCCAGAGAAGGGTCAGCATGAGCAGTTGGGAGGGGTCCAGGGACCGATGTCGGGCGGATCTGGGCCAAGCAGGTGCGGTCCCAGATTGTTCCAGCACCCTCCGTGCCACCCCCCTCAGAGGCACGTCTGTTTGCTCGCCGTGCCTCGTGGTGGCTTGCTTGCTGGCTCGTCGATCGATCGCCTCGCTGCGCCCGCCACGCCGCGCTGTGGAGCGGGGGGGCGGGGGGCACTGGGCACTGGGGGCCTCGGGCGGTCGCACTGCCAGCCTCGCTCTTGGGGCAGGGTTTCCGCGCCGCGACCTGCAGCAACAAGTAACACGGTGGTCTTGATGTGTTTCTTATAGGCTCTAATGGAAGACGCCCGCGGCGAGTCACCGCCGCGCCCTGCCTTCCTGGGAACGCCGATGTGGCCAAACGCTGTGCCAATGCTTGGCCAGGCTATTGGACTATGTGGTCCCGCAGCCGTTGGTAGAAACCCTTGGGGGAGGAAGACGAGAGGGAGCATGAGAGGGATGATGATGGGAGGAAAAGGCGGACGAGGAGGTGGCCTCTGGTGGCCTCTTAGGTAGGTGCCTCTTGGGGCCTCCTGGGGGCATCTTGGGGGCCTCTTGCTGGCCTCTAGGGGCCATCTGAGGCTGTCTTGGCGCTACCTTGGGCCACGTTGGGGCCATCTTGGGTCATCTTGGCCGCCTTGGAGGGCATATTAGGGCGTCCTGGAGGAAGTATGGGGTCACCTCGGCCGACTTGGAAGCCATCTTGGCCGTCTTGTGGGGCCTCTTGGGCCGTCTTGGGGCCATCCTGGAGGCCTCCTGGGCCGTCTGAGGCTGTCAGAAGTCCTCGAGGGCGCGAACGCAGAATTTCTGAAGCATTTGCCTCTTTGCGCCCTCGTGGGGGTCCTCTTCGAGGTCTCTAAGGCCGTCTTGAAGGCCTCTTGGACCGTTTTGGGGCCACCTTGACCATCTTGTTCCCTCGTGGGCTATCCTGGAGACCATCTTGGACCGTCGTGGGCCGTCTTGGAGGCCATCTCAGCCACGCTGGAGGCGAGCTTCATTCACTCTCTTGTGCTCTCTGGGTGGCCGGCGGGTCAGAGAGGGAGTGAGAGATAGAGAGATAGAGAGCGATACATAGCGAGGGGGAGGTGGCGCGAGAGATCCCGGTCAGAGAGACGGGCGTGCCGGGCAGGCTCTTCTGCCGCCGAGGGAGGGCTGCTGGTGGCGCCCGAGTGACATGCCAGTCCTGACAGCGCCGCGGGGGCTGCTGCTGATACCGCGGTCGTTCTGACGCGCCGCCTCCTCTTTGGCGGGCACTTGACTAGTGGTCACCACAAGCCCCTCTCGACCCCCCCCTCATCATCATCATCATCATCATCATCATCATCATCATCATCATCAGCATCATCACTTTCATCATCAGCACCATCATCATCATCATCACCATCATCCACAGCATCATCATTATCATCGTGTTCAGCATGATCCTCATCCTCATCATCATCATCATCGTCTACATCACCACCACCATCATCATCATCGTCATCATCGTCATCGTCACTGTCGTCGTCCTTATCGGCGTGGTCTTCGTCATCTAGTTAACCATTATCAACGTCATCAGCATTACCATCATCGTCATTACCAGCATCATCATCGTCGTCATCATCACCATCACTACCGTCATCATCAACCCACTCATCAGTCTCATGCTCAGCATCGCCACACTCATCATTTGCATGACCTTCGTCATCAATAGTAGCATCATTCTTATCATCATCGCCAGCATACCCATCAGTCTCGTCTTCCCTAGCCTCTACTAACGGCCTCGTCAGGCGTTTTGTTTAGCACTGTCACTATCATCATCAGCATCATCATTGCCGTTAGAAACAACATCGTCATGAGCATCAGTAGCACCATCATCACCATCATCACCCCCAGCATTAGCAGCAGCATCATTACCACCACTATCATCGTCAGCATCAGCATGCTCATCAGCATCACTATCATCTTTGTCATCATCATCAGCATCAACTAAATCAGCATGACAATCCGCATCACCATCATCATTACCGCCTTTCCTGTCCTCCGTCCAAGGCCCCGTCAGACGTTCAGTGTGTTCAACACGATGATGATGTTGAAGATGATCGTCGTCATCTCAATCATCATCATCATCATCATTGGCATCGACATCAACATCGCCATCATCATTATTGTCATCATCGTCATCGTCACCGTCATCGTCATCAGCATCATCATCACCATCACCATCAGCATCATCAACACCATCATCACAAACATCAGCACCAGCATCAACATCATTATCATCATTCTCATCATCACCCACCAGCGCCAGCATCATCACCATCATATCAAATCATCGTAATGATCATCATTCTCGCCCTTCCCCACCACCGTCACAGGCCTGGTCAGACGTTGGTTTGAACAGGGTCTTGATCTGCATCATCATCGTCAGCATCATCAGCGTTATCATCATCGGCATCATCATCATCATCATCAGCATCATCATCATCGTCAGCATGTTCATCATCAACATCATCAGCATACTTATCATCCGCATCATGATCACCAGCATCTCCATCGCACTCATCATCACTAAGATTATCATCACGACTTGCCTCGCTAGCATCATCATTCGCATCGTCATCATGACGAGCATCATCGTCGCCAGCATCACCATCACCACCATCAGCCTCATCGTCATACTCATCATCGTCATCATCAGCATCACCACCATCATATCCATCGTCACCGTCATCATCATCATCATCATCATCATCATCATCATCATCATCATCATCATCCTCGTCACTTCCACCACCATCGTCATCACGATTACCAGGATCATCACCAGCATCATCGCCATCATCAGCATTGCCGTCGTCATCATCACCGCCATCAGGCTTGTTATCATCGCCATCATCCTCGCAAACATCATCGCCATTTTCAGCATCATCATCACCACCATTACCATAATCGTCATCATTAGTATCTCGTCATCATCAACACCATCAGCATCACCATCAGCATCTCCACTATCATCATCGTCACCATCCTCATCGCCATCATCGCATCCATCATGACCGTCATCAACATCATTACCACCACCATACTCGTCATCAGCATAATTACCAGCATCACCGTGATCACCATCATCAGCACCTTTAGCATCACAATCAGCATCAGCATCATCAACATTATCATCGTCAACATCATCATTGCCATCATCATGATCATCATCATCGTCATCATCGTCACCGTCAGCATTACCATCAGTATCACTGTTACCATCATCATAGTCATCATCGTCATCAACATCATTGTCCATATCGCTATCATTAGCGTTATCAACAACATCATTATCATCATCAACCTCGTCATCATCCTCGTCATCACCATCATCCTCATCGTCACTCCCATCCTCATGCTTGTCATCATCATCACCATCATCAGCAGCATCACCACCGTCGTCGTCTTCGTCGACGTCATCATCATAATCCTCATCATCATCATCATTCTCACCATCATCACCATCAATATCGCCATCTTCGTAGCCATCATCACCATTATCATGATCGGCATCATCAGTATCGTTACCGTTATGGTCATCGGCATCTTTACCATCCTAATAAGTATCGCCGTCACATTCATCATAATTCTTATCACCATGATCAGCATCATCATCGGGATAGTTGGCTTCATCACGATCGCAATCATCGCCATCAGCATCGCCATCTTTATCATCATCATCGTCAGCACAACCGTGATCGGCATCATCGTCATCACCCCCATCATCATCATCAGCATTATCATCAGTATTGCCATCATCATCCCCGCCAATACACGTCGGTCGTTGAAAATGTGTGATTTTGGATCTCCAGATCCAATCTACTTCACCCGCCTTCCTACGTGAAGAGTCGAGTGGTTTTAATACTCCCTCCTCTTCAGGGGGGGGGGTACTTCCAATCTGCTGCAATTGCCTGTCCACTTCATGTTTCCACCTACTTCTTCCCACCGACGGGTATTATCACTATCGCCGTCATCAGCATCATCATCATCATCATCATCATCATTACCAGAATTGGCATCCGCATCATCATCGTCATCAGCACCACCATCATCAATATCAGCATCATCGTCATCATCACCATTATCGCCACCAACATTGTCAACATCGTCATCATCAACGTAACCGTCGCCATCATGCTCACCACCATCATCACCATCATCATCACCGTCAACTTCATCATCATCACCACCCCATTCGACATCCTGGTCATCATCATTGTGATCACAATCACTGTAGCGATCCTTATCACCGTGATCACTCACCATTGTCACAATAATCATCTTCGCCATCATCGTGATAGTCACCATACTCATTTGCATCGTGAACGTCATCGTCAACATCTCCGTCGCTATCATTACCATTCCCACCATAAACAACATCACCACCATTATCATCGCTATTATCATCATCGCAGCCAACGTCGTCACCATCGTCAGCACCATTTTCATCATCTTCGCCATAAGCATCGTGCACCATGATCACCAGCACCATCATCATCATCGTCGTCATCATCAACATCATCACCGTCATCATCAGCATCCTCATCAGCATCGTCGTCATCGCCAGTACCACCATCATCGAACAATCGCAAGCATCAGTATCACTATCCTTATTAGTATTGTTATCATCAACAGCCTCATCGTTACAAGCATCATCATGATACTTACCACCATCATTAATATCGTCATCGGCATTATCATCGTCATCGTCATCACCATCGTCATCGTCATCACCATAAGCATCACCATCATCATCATCATCACCCTCAGCAGCATCATCTTCACCATCGTCATCACCCTCGTCACCACCTTCATCGGAATCGCCACCAATGCCAGCATTATTATCAGCAGCGTTATCATTATTGTCGTCATCACCACCATCATCCTTATCCGCATATCACCATCGTCGTCGTCACCAGCATCATCACCACCATCACCACTACCATCATCATCATCGTCATCACCATCATCACCGTTACCATCGTCATCATCATCATCAGTATTATCATCATCATCGACATCGTCATCATCATTATTGCATCATCGTCATCGTCACCGTCATCGTCTGCAGCATCATCACCATCACCATCACCATCAGCATCATCAAGATGACCATATTCACAATCATCAGCCTCAGCATCAGCATCATCATCATCATCACCATCATCACCCACCAGCGCCTGCATCATCACCATCATATCAAATCATCATCATAGTCATCATCATCATTCTCGCCCTTCCCCACCCCCGTCACAGGCCTGGTCAGACGTTAGTTTGAACAGAGTCACCCCTCAGGGAGAGAGGGATCATCATCCTCGTCACTTCCACCACCATCGGCATCACAATCACCATGATCGTCACCGTCATCATCGTCATCATCAGCATTGCCGCCGTCATCATCACCGTCATCAGAATTGTTATCATCGCCATCGCTCTCGCCAACATCATCGCCATTATCAGCATTACCATGTAGTATCGTTATCGTCATCAGCACCATCAGCATCACCATCAGCATCTCCACCATCATCATCGTCATCATTACCATCTTCACCATCACCGCCTCCATCATGACCATCATCACCATCATGACCACCACCATACTCGTCATCACCATCCCCACCATCATCACCGTTATCACCATCACCAGCACCATTAGCATCACCATCATCATCAGCATCATCATCAACATGAAACATCGACATCATCATCATCGTCGTCATAATCATCATTGCCATCATTATCATCAACATCATCATCGTCAGCATTGCCATCACTATCACTGTCACCATCATCATAGTCATCATCGTCATTAACATCATTGTTCATATCGTTATCAACGGCATCATTCTCATCATCGTCGTCATCATCCTCGTCATCACCATCATCCTCATCGTCACTCCCATCATCATGCTCGTCATAATCATCACCATCATTGTCAGCATCACCACCGTCGTCGTCGTCGTTGTCATCATCATAATCGTCATTATCATCATTCTCACCATCCTCACCATCAATATCGCCATCTTAGTAGCCACCATCGTCCTCACCATCATCATGATCGTTGTGATCATCGGTATCGTGCCCCTACTCAGAATTATCGCCATCATCTTTATCGTCATCATTACCGTCATGATCAGCATCAGCATCATCATCATCATCATCATCATCCTCATCAGCATAGTCGGCATCTTCACCATCACCAGCATCGCCATCAGCATTGTCAACATTATCATCATCATCGTCACCATCACCGTGATCGGCATTATCGTCATCACCATCATCATCATCATCATCAGCATCATCA